TCAACCTGAGCGAGAAGGACTACATCCGCCAGAAGAACAAGCATCTCCCCAAGATCGCCGAATGGGTCAAGACCAACGCCCCCGGTGACCCAATCATCCCCATCTCCGTACAGCTCGAGGAGCGCATCGCGGTCATGTCTGACGAGGAGGCCGCCGAAGAGCTCAAGAACCTCGGTACCAAGTCGGCGCTGCCCAAGGCCATCCAGGTCATGCGCAAGGCCCTTCAACTTGGTAGCTTCTTCACAACTGGTACCGACGAAGTCCGACAATGGACAATAAGGACTGGCACCAAGGCGCCACAAGCTGCTGGTGTCATTCACGGTGACTTTGAGAAGACCTTCATTCAGGCAATCGTATACAACTACGCGGTGCTGAGGGAAGAGGGTGATGAAGCCACTTGCAAGGCAAAGGGCAAGATCATGACCAAGGGCAAGGACTACGTTGTCGAGGATGGTGATATCCTCCTCATCAAGGCTGGTGCCGCGAAGGCATAGACAGCTTGATGAGTCTTGGTTATGTGTGTATGTGTTTATGATCTACATGCGCGTCTTATGATGAGCTATATGAAAAGCAGCTAGACTGCCCTGAATGAATGAGAATAAACATGACCACGAAGAAATCAACTTTTCCCCATGCTGTGATATGTGACTACTCTTCTATTCTAACATGTTACGCAAAGCTGGAAGACTATTTAGTAGAAGCCTTCACTCAGCTCCTTCCCACCCCTCGGTCAATCTACCTACTTCGCCTTACCCTTCGTCTCAACAAGCATCCAGCTATTCCCACAGACACAGTGTTTACTCAAGCCCAGCAAGTACTGAGAATGCGCAGGAGTATACCCCGGCAACCCCGGCACAACATCCTCCATACAAGCACCACACCTCGTACACTGCTTGAGCAAATTCTTCTTCCTCCTGCTCTCTCCATTCGCCCCCGCACTTTGAATACTATCACTCCTGCTGCGATTCCCGCCACCCGTCGCTGACCCCACAGGATGCGTCCACGTGCCCGTGCCCCGAATAATCATCTTCTGACACACATCCACCACATGCGTGTCGTGCCAATACCTTGCGCGCTTTGAGTCTGTGAACCCTAACCACGTGGTATCGAAGAACATGAGTCTGCCCATGTCGAGCTTATCCGCGAGACAAACTTGCTGCGTCGTGCTCTTCCAGAGGTAATCCGTCACAAGGCGTTTAGCCACTGGAAAGAGGATGTCTGGGATTTTTCCGAGGAGGAGTTCGCGCTCGATGCTGTTGCGTTGCATGTCCGTTAAGTTACGCTGCTTGTACGTGCCGCGGACGTGGCTCTGTGTCTCGGTGAGCAGCTGTTCGTAGTAGCGGTAATCGAACGGGATGTCAGTTATAGCAGCATAAAGAGGAGCGTATAGTTTCTTTGCTTCAGGTGTCTGGGGCGGTGCATTGGGGTTCCCGGCTGCGGCGTTGGGCAGCGTAACGTAGGCTGCTGCGCTGCGCGAGAGCCACGCAATAGGTTGGAACCAGAGTTTCATCATGGCGCGGGGGAAGGCGGACAGGATGAGGAGGAGCGCGGGTTTGTTGAGCTCACGGATTTTGGCCTCAAGGACGGGACGCGTGAGGTCTGCTGGGGGTATGTCGGATAGGGCGCGGCCGAGGGCGAAGAGATCATCTAGGATGTAGGCCATGAAGTGCATTGTCCATCTGCAGGTTCCGATCATTTGGGGGACGGCTTCGGGTCGGAGGTTGCTCTTCGATGGGTCGCCGTGGAGGCGGACGATGGTGGTCAGGGTTTGCGTGACAAATCTGATGTTGATGAGTTGCCAGGCCATCTTGCTGCTCAGAGAACGGTCGATGTTGCCTTGGAGGCCGAGGATGTTCATGGCTGAGAGCGTCTTGACGAAGAAGGGGCTGCGGCCGAGGAGAAGGAAGTGGTTGCTTGATGTGTCGTCCACGCCACAGTCGATGTTGACTTGGAGTCCCTCGAAGAGCAGGTTGATGAAGTCGTGTTTACGCTTGTCGCTGAGGGAGCTGACAAGAGCGAAGATGTCGTCGCTGGAGTAGTATTGATTTGCCGCTGATGACGACTGTAAAATGAGTGCTGCGAGAGCGGCGGCATGGCGGGGATCATCATCGTCTGATGAGAGGGTGCCGTGGGAGTACTCCATAGAGCGCAGCTTTGGGCTACCATCCAGTTGCATACATACCGCCAAGCAGTGGTTGGGTGATAGGGCGACATGTAGCGAGGGTTCGGCGTGCTGGAAGACGAAACCAGCTTGTAATAGCGAGTTCACAGTGTCAGTATTGCCATCTGGCATGACTATCTCCATGGTCGATCGCTTCCTGAACTCGATAGCCCCATCGCTGTACGTGAATGCCAGAAGCATGCTGTACCATATCGGGTAGAATCCTAATACGACAGCATGCAATGAGAAGTCAGGCTGTCTCTTTAGAAGGAACGTGTTTTGTGCAGATACCGAGCTTACGCTCTTCTTCTTTGATGTCACCTGATCGAGGCTGGAATGGAGCTGACTGTGTTGCTCTTGATGCACCTGCCATTTGACGATGATGCTGTACCGCGTTTCTTGCGGGTTCAGATCATACGAGATCGGGTTCGGTGGCTTACAAAATATGGCTTGAATGGTGGGCACCGAGCCGTCATCCTGCTCGGGCGTAACGGGAAGGAAGTTGAGATGTGTTAGTTGAGCGGCAGCCGCACCTCTTGATGCTGTGCCGTGGCCCAGGTCGTCATTCGCAAGCTCAACGGGGTTGCAATCATCTTCCAAAGCGATCAATGAGACTTGGATGGTTGGCTTCTCGAATGGACCGGCGTTTTGGCTACGCTTGTCGGTTGGTACATTCCAGATTGTCTCAATGCGATATAGATGCAACCGCCTTTTGACGTCGTAGGCAGCCAGTAGAAGGGTGTTATCTAGAACATGTTAATTTAATAACATCAAAGCGTACAGAAGACCGTACCGTTGTTCGACGTAAAGGCTGCGTGTGTGAAGGACTCCTTCGTTGATATCATAGGCCCTAATTGAGCGGAGACTTCTTGCCAGCTGTTGTCAATCTGCTGGAAGCGAAGCTTGATCTCGCCATGTCTCTTCAGATATATGAAGCATGCTTTGCCTTCTACAGGATGGTGCGCATTGTTGAACATGTGCTGTTTGATATTCCACTTCCATTTGCCTTTTTCTTGCGAAGCTGACCAAGCAATGAGATTCTGGATGAACATTAGAAAGAGGCCTCCGAGCATCCGAGAGACCTTACCTTTTGCGCGTATGGTAGGATCGCAAGCCAATGCATGCCTACCACACCATCTACTTCGGACTCTGGATGAGCTACTTCCGCTCTGGTGAAATGCATGCGGTCCAAGGCCATGGCGCATGAGAAGACCATTACTCGACCTGCTTCGTCCATGACAGCGAGATCGTTACCCAGGTGACTCCATGAGAGATGGGTCAAACGAAAGATCTCGCGGCCCTGTGGGAATTCGAGTGGGACGTTTCTTCCGAGATCCCATTTGCCAGATTCAGGATCTCGTGAAAAAATCTTCAGGTGGACAGAGTAGCCGTCTGGACTTATGTACGCAACGCATCCATTCTTGGACCATGATATCTTTCTATTACCTGTTAGTTAAGCTGGCAGACTTACCCAAGGCTCACTTACTGGCAACAGCCGCTAGACGCTAGCTCATCGATGCGCCCGTCGAGCCCTTTCACTGGCGGTGTCGTATTGATAGACTGTATGTTGACATGTTCTGAGTCTCCGAAGAGATCGTCCACATCCATGTTATAACTGGCGCCGTCCATTGTGGTGAGATAGCTGCGCTCGGCGGCAGGTCGGCTGAGAGGTGAGATCAGTCGAAAAACAAGAGGTGGGAAACAACCCCGCCAAGAAAGTCGCACGAGACAAACACGAACAGATGACGAGCGAATCGTCGGGTATCACAGAGAATACAAAGAAATGAGGCACGAAATTCAAGACAGAGACGGACGTGGAGAGGGTCGAGGGTTGATGAGGCTGCGCCCCGGTTGTCTGGGATCAGTTGCGGCAGTAAGCGATGCAGCTAACGATGACTAGCGCGGTTCCATCTGGTGTGCTGTTCGTGAGAGCTTCGCGCACAATCGTCATCCCGGGCAGTCATCCTTCCCAGAATGCTGATGAAGGTTATCGCAAGCGCTCAGAATGTAGTGCAATAAGCTCAGGATGCTTATGCGACTCCGGGATTCCGACGGTCAAATAAGCGCATCGCGCCGATCTCTATGAACCTGGGAGGGGTTGCATGCGCTGTGGCTGTCACGAAGAACATGGCATCGTGCCGTCCAGTGGGAAGCATGACGAGCGAAGACTTGCTTCAGAGCTCGCTGTCGTACCCTATGTACACGGCTTAACATGCTCCTTCCACGTCTACTACTTCAATGATGCTGCCGTTCAGATAGTGCCATGTTCGGCCCAGCACAGACATGCCGCAAACGTAAACAGGTCGAGTGTTTAGGTTCTGTTCTTGGCACACCTACCCGGCGCCCATGGTTGTCCAGGTCAACCAGCGCTCGCCCGTCATCGCATCCACCGCCAACCTCTGCACCCTTCACACCCCCCTTCACCACCGCCCACAAACGCGTCTATTCCAGACGCGCGCCTGCCTGCCCTTTCTTTATCGCGCCTTCACGAAGCGTCACAATGATCTAGCGTACCTTCCCGATCTGACGGTTCTCGAAGGGGACCAAAACGGCAGCAGCGGCAGCACGGCAGCGACGACCGACAGCCCCCAACCTACGCCCTCCGCACAATCACGATCTCCACACACTCTCCGTACGCGGCATATCTCGAACAAATACTGAGAAATTAATGCGGAATTCTACCGTGTTAGTCAAGCTACAAAGAACCTTGTGGTACTAGACGCGCCGGGTCCCTGAAAGCCGCCAGGCGCCTTGCGTTCGACATTGAACCTCCCTCGCGACACACGGCTGTCACTGCCTACTGCTGTCCACCCCACAATCCCCACGGCGCTCCTTCACCATGGCTTACAACGCGCTAAACAACGAGCCCAGCTCGCCCTTGACCGAGATTTCGGATTCAGATCTCTCTATTCTTTCTCGGTCGCCCACTCCACCAGCTGAGCTTAACAAATCCTTCGCTCAACGTCGCGCATACATGTCCCCATCCTCCTCGCGACGCTCATCCGCCAAGACGTCACCCGCGCCCGAAGACATGCCTTCTCCCCCGTCCAGCAACGACGACAACCCGCGTCCAGTAAAGAGGAGGAAGACGGCAGAGCCCAAGGAGCGCACGGCAGAATACCTTGACCTCTCCAGGTCCGACGTCGAACAAGACGAGCTACCACAGCTGCAGCGCTTGCTGAGCGTTCTGCACAAGAAGCGCAAGATTGTGGTTATAGCAGGTGCAGGCATTTCGGTTTCGGCTGGCATTCCCGATTTCCGATCAGCTACTGGCCTCTTCAACACGCTCAAAAAGGAGCACAAGCTCAAGTCCTCTGGCAAGGACCTCTTCGACGCGTCTGTTTACCAGGATGACACGTCCACGTCGACATTCCACGACATGGTGCGCACGCTGTCCCAGCACACGAAATCTGCGCAGCCCACCGCCTTCCACCACCTTCTCGCGACCCTAGCCCAAGAAGGGCGTCTCATGCGGCTTTACACCCAGAACGTCGACGGCATAGACACCTCATTACCCCCTCTAAGCACAACGGTGCCTTTGCCCAAGAAAGGACCTTGGCCCAAGACTGTCCAAGTGCATGGTGGTCTGGATTACATGGTGTGCTCCAAGTGTCAGAAGGTGGAGCCTTTCGACGCCGAGCAGTTCAACGGGCCTAGCCCACCACCCTGCCCAAGCTGTGTGGAGAACGACGAGATCCGCCAAGTCGCAGACAAGCGCAGCCACGGCATTGGCCGCCTGCGTCCTCGTATGGTCCTCTACAACGAACATAATCCTGATGATGAGTCGATCGGTTCTTGTGCGTCCTATGACATGCGCATGAGGCCAGACGCTGTTATCGTGGCTGGCACCACGTTGAAGGTCCCCGGTGTGCGGCGCATCGCCCGCGAGATGTGCAACATTGTTCGCGACCGGAAGGATGGAGTCACGGTCTGGCTGAATAACGACCCGGAGCCGATGGGTAAAGATCTCGAGGACAAGTGGGACCTAGTAGTCAAAGGTCCTTGCGATGAAGTCGCGCGCCATGCTAATATGCGACGATGGGACGACCCCATGGACTATAAGACAGTCACAGAAGAGGATCTCAACAAAGTCAGGGAGAAGCAAAGAGCAGAGGTCATCATCGGAACTCCTCGAAAGCCTGGTGTCCTACGCAATGCAGGCCAGCTCACACCTGGACAGAGCCCCCGCATATTACCACTATCGTTTAACAAAGCGGAACCAGACACCCCGTCCAAGAAAGGCACAAAGAGGAAGGCAGACGCGAAGGCAGACGGGCAAATGGATCTGTTCGGCAAGCCCGCAACCAAAGCACCCGCAAAGAAGCCGAAAGCACAGCCAAAGAAGGCAACAGCAGCAAGCAAGAGCAAGGCGGGCAAGAAGGAGCCGAAGAAAGAGGCTCCCGCCATCAACAACGTCTTCAAGGCTACAAAGGGCGGCGCCAAACCTACCGGCAAGCCTCTGGCCAAAGCATCTGATCCGGCCCTTACCATTATCGAGTCAAAGTTCAACGAGCAGACGCGGCTCAATCCGAAGGAGAACGCCAGCGACACGATTCACATCGAGAAGCGACGGACTCCATCGACCCCCAGGAAGCCAGCAAGACTGACCAAGATAAAGTCAGATTTTGTGTTCCAGCCTGTTTCGAGTGCAGATAGCCGCAACAACCACTCACCGAAGCGACCACCAATCGAAAGCTTCACACCTACAAAGGACCGTACACCCAGTGCTCAAATTCAGGAGGAGATGGCATACGCGCATGCGACGTCGTCTACGAGTGATTCTCGTCCTTCATCCTCGGGCAGCGCACAGCGGCACATCATCGAGAGTCCAACCGGCCCGGTACCCAAAAACATGAATCACCTTCTCTGCTAGCGAACTGCATTTCTCGGCGTTGGCGGGCTTTCTTTTCCAGACAGACGCCGTATCTATGTGCGCGGTGCATTGCATGAGAGGCGTTTGCGGTTTTTCAAATGTACAGTTGAGGTGTCAGTTGTACCAGTACTTTTCTCATTGTTGGACATGCATATCTTACCTTTTGGCTGCATGATACCCCGATGAACTCCTGGTAGAGGCAGATCGGACGCTTTGGCGTCCTTATTCAGCGTAGTGTAGTGGTTCCGATGATAGTTGAAGGCTTAGGCCTCTGTTGATATTCGTGACAAATGCGAGATATTTACTATTATCTGGTGTTGAGACAATCTATTGATCTTTGTGATAACAGTAACTTGAATGAACTTTCAGCGTGTGACTGCAACTTTCTCTTCTACACCTGGAAATAATCTTGAGTGCCCTAGATATTGTGCCTCCCTTGCGCGCCTTCTTCAGGCTGGCGCCTTGGCGCTTAATTCGGCCTGTGCACATTGGCTGACGACCACTTCTCGACCATTCATTGTTCATGCATCTGCACCTTGGCGAGATAAAGGTGCACCCTTTGTTCTAGGCGGCATCGTTCGGCAATCACCAGTCTCGCAACGAATTCACTCAGTTGGAACAGGTCCAATCGACATCTCAAGCTTGTCAACATCTACACGCGTCGACGTGTCTTGAGAGACTTTACATCTAACCCTTACAAAACAATCCAGTAAGAAGGAGCTGGGACTTCAGGTCATGGCCTCACCACTTACCGTGCGAAACTTGACGCCTGTCACTCTTTCGATTCAGCGTGTGGAGCGGTTTGAGGACCCAAATACGTTACAGTCCAAAGCGAGCGGGTACTTCCTAGGTGCTCAAAGCACCCCATCAGCGGCACCCACTTCACCTGAACTCAGCAGCCATGCACAGAGCTTCAATGATCAAGATCTTGAAACTGTCTTGCAGCCGTTCGAGTCGTATACTTTGACGTTTGCAAACTCGAAGCAGTCCAACGCATCTACACTATCAAACCCAACCCTGCGTCTCACCATCCAGACTTCCAATGGTGAACGCCAACGGATTGATGCGCACCCGTCATATACTCAAAAGTCAACACAGTCGTTTACCCCACTATCTGCAGATTCCTCAACAACCTACAAAGCCCTCTTTCACCCATCGACACCAGTCCCCCATCTCTCGATCCATGTCAACCACCTTCCAAACTACTCTTCGTGGATGGGCTCATTACCAGATGATCTACCTCTATCAGCTATAAGCATCCCCGGATCGCACAACGCACACACGCATTATCGAGCCCTCCCATCTGTTCGATGTCAGGTCCACGATATCAAGGCACAGCTAGAAAATGGTATCAGGTTCTTGGACATACGTGTACAGCCAACACACGCGACGGATGCATCAAAGAAAGACCTTTACCTAGTCCACGGCGCATTCCCTGTGAGTCTGACAGGACCGAAGTACCTTGAGCCTATCCTAAAGATATGCTACGACTTTCTCTTCGCCAACCCCAGCGAGACGGTATTGGTGAGTTTGAAGCGAGAAGGTGTGGGAAGCGCGACGGACGAACATCTTGCCCGCATCCTAGAGGAGCACTACATCACCCCCAATGCGCGCCATTGGTACACGGAGAACGCGATACCGTACTTGGGAGCTGTAAGGAGTAAGTTGGTTCTGGTACGGCGGTACAATGTAGCCCGGACTGTGGCTTCCTCTTCGAGTTCAGATTGCAAGAATGGCGGACTAGACGCAACAGCCTGGCCGCACAACGCAACTCACGCCGTCTTTCCATCGCATTCTTCCGCACCAACGTTTTGTCTCCAAGACTTCTGCGAGGTTCTAATACCAGATATTATACCGACGAAGATACAGCATTGCAACGACCATCTTGTGCGTTCTGCCGCCGCCGTTCACCCCATTCCTGGAATAACAACCGATGTCACGAACCCAGTACCACCAGGACCATTATACCTCAACTTTCTCTCTGGGAGCAACTTCTGGAAGAAATCCTGTTGGCCTGGGGCTATCGCCAAAATTGTCAACAGGGGCATGGAAGAGTGGCTTTGTGAGGGGCATCACTTGGAGGCTCCGAATACGACACCTCGCCACCCGGAGGTCACAGATGAGAGCGCCGAGGGTGTAGTGAGGAGGGCGAAAAGCGGTGATGGAAGTACAGGTGTTGTTGTGATGGATAATGTGGGAGAGAATGGAGATTGGGAGTTGGTCAAGCTGATCGTGGGTATGAACATGGGAGTGCTGGCGAAGATGAAAGCGATGGGGGAGAGATGATGAAAGACCGATTCGATATAAGATCACAAACATGTACATTTGATATCCAAGATCTTGTTCACACTGATACCCCACCTGTTGGCTCGTGAGTGCCATGTGCAAGTGGTGAACGGGGAGCGTCTGTGCATCTCCGAGATGCCGACGGAACATTTTGGCGATGCGCATCATGCATTTGGCATACCACAGCCCACGACGTGCGTACCATGCATTGCTCGGCCTCAGCAATTACGGCTGTCAACAAGACAATCCGACGATAGCCGCTCTTCAGCGCCAATCCTGAGTGCGACAATTGTGGTGGCCGGCGCATCTAACAATGTCCCTCCTCCGACCAACATGCGCATCGCTCGCGCGGCGACTCTGCACTGCACAACCGTTATCAGAGCCAACCCTGAGGTCGCCTTTATTAGCCCTCATACAGCGACATCGAGCCTCACGACCGCAATGTCGTGCCTTCGTCTCCACGCCCCGCTATCGAGCAAGAGTTATAGACACCCCGCAGAACCCGAGCATCCCCCAATCACGCAAGCGCACAGTCAGGATAGGTCCTCTACCCGAAGGGCCAGTCAGTGAACCAACGATACATCGGATATTTGGGCGAAAGCTATCGGGTCACGATGGTAATAATGTTCTGCGGATATTACACCACCGAAGGACAGCGGGTTCGCTCGCCGACTATGGCGTTGACAATCTGGGGAAACAATACACACACGTGAGCAGGGATACGGCATTGAAGGGCCTGGAGTGGTTACGAGAAAAGTACCCAATAGATGAGGCGCGTGCGGCGGAGGAATGGGCAGAGAAGGAGGCAAACCGCATAGCCTATGAGCTGTGGCTGGCCGATCCAGAGACCGAGTCCAAATACAAGGATCCCGCTCGCGCTTTCCGAGAACAAATGGAGAAGGAAGAGGCAGAGAGGATGCAACAGGAAGAGGACAATCGGAAAATTGGCATACTGCATGCAGGCAAGAGTCAGTTTGAGCTGAACATCGAAGAGAAGAGGAGACAACGATTAGAAGAGATTACACGGAAAGCAGAAGAGAAGGAGCAACAAGAGAGGGAGATGGAGGAGAAACTTGCGACTGGAGAGTACGTGCGTACACCAACTGGCACGCAGCTCATGAAGCCCGGTCAAACAGCCTATGTCGATGTCTTCGGTCGCGAACAAGTCAGCCGGAGGAAAGAGGAGATGGAGAAATACAGCAAGGCAGCTCAAATAACGGATGCGAAGACGGAAGAAGAGCTACTCGCACAAACAACGCTTGTAAGCACCACATCCCCTCTCTACTCAGATTGACACCATCACTAACACCATCGCAGGCGCAACGTCTCTACCCCATGTCCGCCTTTGTCTTCCTCACAGTCCTAATCTGCTACGGTTTCGCCCACTACTACCTGCCTCCCTCACCATCCTACCGCCTCCTCCCTGACCTCAGTCCCACAACCGCCACCATCGGCGCGCTGCTGGCCATAAACGTCGGTATAGCAGTAGCATGGCGAGTGATGCCCCTGTGGCCCATCCTAACCCGCTACTTCATGCACGTCCCCGGCTACCCGCGCGCCGTCCAAAGCGTCCTTAACGTCTTCAGCCACGTCCAGTACGAACATCTCCTCGCCAACATGATGATGCTGTGTCTTGTCGGTCCCGCATGCTGCGACCTCGTTGGCCGTGGCACCTTCATGGGAACGTACATCTCCGCTGGTGCCGTGGGTACACTGTTCTCCCTCTACTGGGCTAATCTCGGCCGCGGAAATATCACAGCGCATTCTGTTGGTGCTTCCGCGGCTATCTGGGGTATCTCCGTGCTCTACTGCCTCCTCACCGATCAAGAGAAGATTAAAATCCCTTTTGTAAAAGAGCAGGAGGTGGCGTTTTGGCCTAAGATGCTGTTGGGTGCTTTCATCGTGCTTGAGATTTTCCAATCGTTCAAGAAGGGTACGTCGACTGCGGATCATGCTAGTCATTATGGTGGCATGTTTGTGGGCTTTGTGACGGCGGGGTATATGCATGCGAATGGGTGGAAGGATAGGCCGCGTTTTGTGGATAGAGAGGGTGGCGTTGTTGAACAAGGGGTTCAGGAGAGGGCGGGCGTGGATGGGAAGACGGTTGATGTTGGTGCGGTTGTTAAGGACGTTAAGGAGAGTTTGACGGGCGGTGGGAAGTAGGGGGTTGGAGTGGAGTGTATGTATGGGATGGGAGTGTGGTATGTATCATTATACCTGTACAAAAAGAACTTGACACGACACGACACAACCAAGGTTCAACCATCCCTTACACGCCAGGGAATATGTAAACGGGTGGGCGTAGTGGCGGAGGCCATCTCTATGCTATCTCTCAGTTCCTACGCCTTTCGTACCCCCAGTCCAATCGGTCAGTTTCCGCTCATGCTCACCTAGAATCACACAAAACAGCAGCAGCACTACTCACCTGAACAACAAAAGTTCCAAGTTGTTTTCCAACGCTGTACAAAAGATAGCAGAGACAACCTCCTCCAACCTCCTCAAACAGCAGGGAAAACATAAACCCCCTTCTCCAACGCCATCTGCACACTCGACACCGGCTTAACATACTTCCTCACCCCCTTCACCGCATCATCCAGCAACATCGCCACCAAATTCCCAAACACAACACTCCCCTCCGCATTCAAATGCGTGTTATCATCCGCCTTGAGATTATACGTATGCGCGTTTTCCGCTCCAATCGCATTCAAATACGC